TAGAACTGAAAATTCAGCAGGTCTTTCTGATTAAGCTTTGAAAACCCTATAAACTTAAATGATGATAGCAACTAGAATATTGTATCTTGAGACAAAAATGAATGTTTGTTTTCCTAAAAGACAATTAGAGAGCAGACCCTCAGGTTTTACCATCTAACTGCAAAGGCATGTACCCCTCAGTAAAATAGCAAAATAATTAATAGCAACATCTCTGACCTACACCAAGTTCATTTTCCACAAACTCAAGAAAACAAAATGCCTACAGCATAACTTTAATCTAATCTTGATGTTTAACCTTTTTTATGCATATTGATATCTACTCTTAAAAGAGCTCCTTTTAGAATTAAAGAGGCATGCATTTCTGCTTGTAGTTTTCTTTTATTAAGATTTTTCTCATTATAGAGAAACTTTGTCCCTTCTACTTTTATTTTAGAAATCAAAGATCTAAATTACTTTTCCTTGTACATTTTAATTAGGACCCTATTTTAGTAAATATATAGCATGGTTCATGTTTATGGAGATAATTATGACAATTAATATGATTGTAAACAGAACTGTTCAGCAACACAGGCTTTAAGAATTGATGTGTTAATTGTAATAACAAGCTTGAAGAGGTCTGTTTATTAAAGAGATCCTAAATAGTAGTGTTTATATTCTTCCACTTTGTGGGGAAAAAAGAATACCCAAATGTGTAAAAATTTTTAACTTAAATTTAGATTTAAATACATTGAGGGGAATTACTTTTTAAAGAAACCCTATAGTAGATCTTCTTATAAAATACAGAGTAACATAGTTTTCTGTGATTTAGGGGATATAGCATATCAGGTTTAGAAATATCTTTAATGGTCTGCTGTTAAGTAAAAAGTTCCTCTAAGAAGTTCGAGATGTCTGGGAGTTGCTTTATTAATAACCATGAACAGTTAATGTGTTCATTTTGTTGGAAGTATAGCTAGAACTGTGACTATATGATTTCTTTTTTGTTGTTACTATTTTATTTTTTTAAATGTTTTCATTAGTATATGATAGTTATACATGGGGTTTCATTGTGATATTTCCATATACACATATATTGTACCCCAGTTTGGTTCATCCCCTTCATTAATCTCCCTCTTCTCCCACTCCCCTTCTTGAAATGACTTCAATAGATTTCAGTGTTCCATATTCATACATGTATAGAAAGTACCTCAACCATATTCACCCTCGTTTACTCTCTTCATTTACCCTTCCCCTCCTGCTACTACCCTCCACTTAAGATGACTTATTTTACATTCCTGTCTTTCCTTGTTTTAGTGTTCATTCATTGTTCAGGGGGTTTTGCCTTGATCTGTTACTTGTAAATATATTGTCAAACCCCTTCTATTATCCTTTCTTACCCATTTCCTCCCACTCTATTCTGTTTTTAGTGCATTTTATTGTGTATTGTTCCTACACAGAAGTGATATATTTCAATATTATTCACTCCCTGTCATTCTAAATATGATTCCTAAAATTCTCTCTCCCTCCAAATTCCTCTTTTTAATCTTGCGTAGTATCCATAATTTTGGTGAGATTTAACTATTGTCTACCATGTGCTAAGCTGGGCTCAGCAGACACATACATACAATGACCAAATAAATGGTCTTTCACGCAAAAGAACTTAAATTGATTGGGAGGAACTTGCATTTAGATAAAGAATATGAAAAAATATCAAGGAAACCATCCTTGTAAAATACTTAAACAGAAAGATAACTTGTAGCTGAATAGTACCCAGGGCTGGAGCAAGGGGGAGGCTCCTGTGCTGGGTCTTATGCAGTTCCTCTGCAGGCCCACATGGAAACTTGTACAGCATTTCAGTACCATCAGCAGCCATTTCTTTCTGGGAAAATGCACATTTGAGAATAAAATAAATAGTCTAGAATTTCTTCTACTTGATCATAAAAAAAAATGATGCCTTTAATTTTGCCAAATAACCTAGAATTCGAGTATCATTTCTTTCTATCATCAATGCTGGAAAACAATGTTTTGTTGATTCAAATGGGCATTTCTAAATGGCTGGGGAAGAATACAGAAGCACACATACAAAGACCATTTGACAAGAGTAGGAAGTTTCAGATGTCACCTGGACAGGCATCTACTTATGGCATGTAGCACTGCTGCCCTTGAGAGCCTCACCACTGGGGCAGACTGATCTTTGTCTCTCAACCCCCACACCCTACAGTCCTCCAGTCCTCTCTAGTCTTTCTCCTCAGTTCACACTTAAAAGCACCAGATGGGTTTTTCTTAAAATGAAATTCTAACCATAGCTAGAAATATTTGAGTCATTTAATTCAACTTCCCTTCTGACTCTTTTATTGGTTCACTCATTTTGCTCAGCAAGAACCTATTATGTGCCCACTTCTGTGTAAAGCATTTGGCTGGATATTGGTGGTTCAGGGTGACAAAGCCAGGCCACTGTGTTTGTGTCTGCTGGAGTATGCATGAAACAAGGGATGCCATAGAAACACAAAAGTGCAATTCCAACAAGTTCTGCGAGAGATAGTTTATGGAAGTGCCTATGTCAGGGGAACTTACCCTAATCAGGAAGGTCCAGAAAGATTTATTGAGGAGGTGATGATTGAGCTGAGATGAAAAGGCCTAAAGAGACAGGATGAGCCTCCAAACCTTGTGGAGCAGCATGTACAGACACTGTGGCAGGAGAAAGAACTGAGAAGGCCATTCTTTTGAGAGAGCAGAAAATGAGTGGTGTAAGAGATAAAGCTATGTCAGAACAGGTTTTTATAAGTGATAAGAAGGGCTTTCTTCTTAATCTTAAGAGCAGCGGGGAAGCCATTGAAGACCTGTAAGTGAAGGAAGGGAAATAATTCAAGCATACTCAGGTTTGTACAAGACCTCTCTGTCTGAATTTTGGAGAAAGAGATGGGACAAGACACCACAGCAGATATGGTAAATTACTTGAGAGGCTTTATGGTCATCAGAGAGAGGGAGGATGGTCTCTTAAATGTAAGTGCTGGTGGAGGAAACAAGGAGAAGTAGACATGGATCAGATATGGAGAGGGTCAAGCTTGATACCTAGGTTCTGACTGCTCGAAGTGGATACATTGGAATGCCATTCATTCAGCCATGTTTCTGATTTGGAGTATCTCTGAGACATCAGAGGAGAGCTGGCTCAGAAGTCTTTTGGAAAGGAGCAGTGGAGCTCAGAAAAGAGGAATGGGCTAAAATATACATTAGGGAGTCTGAATCTGCCTTACAGTATCCAGAATAGCTATCCACACTTCTGCCTGAACACCTTCAAAATGACAGAAAATTCACCACTTCACCAACCACACATGCTTCAGTTACAGAAAGATAATTTAACATATTCACCCTGATTCTGTTTTTTAGCGAATAGAATCTCTTGTACTTAATAGGGCTTCAGGAACATGAAGAAAACTGGCTGTGGTATGTACCTCCTTGCCACTTCAGTATCCACCTCAGGTTTTTCTGAGCAGCAAAAACTCTTTGAGGTCAATTCAGTGATCTAGCCTCTCCCCATGTCTTCAGGTCCATTATTTCCACAAAAACAGACCCAAGAAAACACACATGCATCCACACACATTACTTTCATTCAGACTTAATATTTGAAGCTTCCTGAGTATGTTTTGCAAAGTTGTGTGCCTTTTCTTATGCTATTGCATAGGAGTAGATTTTAAGTCCATCACATGTAGAATTATATATAGCTCTACAGCAGAACTAATTAGTCCAACTAGCTAACCAAAGGAGTTGTTTCAGAGTGGTAGATCAGATTGGAGATGCCCAGTATCTCATATAAGTCCAGGACCTGAAGGCAATGTGGACGTCTTCAGGCCATAATCATAATATTCAAGTTGGTCTTACCTTGCAGTTGGGGCACTACAGAAGGTTTCCAGGTAGAGGGCAGTGTTTTGAATTAAGGATCATCACCCTGACCTTCTCCATTAGAGGCTAATTGTAATCACAAAGACCCCTTCAGTCTAGTCCAGTCCAGAGTCCCTTCCATGCAATCATTCAGAAAAAGCCAGCTTCTTTCATGTAATGACTCCTCTGAAGGCCTGAAAGTCCTCCTTGGAATCTTCTGCATCTTGTCAACAAATGAAAGAAGAGCTCATAGAGGGTTATGCAGGAGGTCTCAGGGACTCCAAAGTGGCTTATACTTCTCACTTGCATTATCCTGAGCTCAGTCCCATAGGCTGGATACCTATGGGGAAGGCTGAGAGATGTAATTTAGCTATGTGCCCAGAAGGAAAGGCATCAGGGTATGGTATACATATCAGCACTATCCTGGATGTGACACCAGTTTGCCCTTTCATCCTAAAACTTTCAGGGACCCCTGTTGCCCACCAAATTTAGAAAATTCTAATCACATTTTAAGACTTTCAATATGACCCCAGCCTCTCCTTCTAGCTGAACTGACCTCTCATCACTCCCCAGGCATACTCCTCCTCCATCTTCTGCTCAGGCATCCTCTGTTCATCCCTTCTGCCAGGTGCACCTGCATCTCTTTTTCTTGAAATCAAGGTCCATTCACTTATTCTTTATTCCCACTGCTCTGTGAATAGTTTCCTTGTCTAATCACCTCCTCCAAACCCTGAGGGCAATCCATGTCTTACCCATTTTCTGTCACTGTCTTAAAGAGTACCCATTTAAATAAATATTTAGTTAAATTCCATAATTGTATTTAAATTATTTCCTTGAAGAGAAAATGTGCTGTGCTTTTAGTAGCTTTTCTTTAGTTTCTTTTTGGAAGAAAAATGTTTGTAGTAATGGTTCTCAATGACAAGTATACAAATTACTTGAAGGACCTTGTTGAAGCTCTGTTGCCCCTCCCTCACCTTGTCAAAAATATCTCACAGATCTGATGCAGTATCTGCATTTTAATAAGTGCTGAATGGGGCGGTGATTCAGCTCATATGGTAACTGGACTGTACTTTTAGAAATACTGTAACATGGTATTCATTGTTATGCTCATTAATGGACTATTACAACCTTCCTTTAACAAACAGACCAGTTCATCAGTAGAGGAGCAAGTAGTGTCCGGAACAGTAAAAATCAAGATGTCTGTCATATCGCCTTTGGATCCAAAGTTCTTGGACCCCCTCCACTTTCTGGCAGAAGGAATCACATGAGGTTATCCAGTGAGGTAAGGAAGGAGGTTTGAAGAGTTATCAGAGTGTGGTAGGTGTGGTCAGGGATGGAAGATGGGAGGAGGGGCAAGGCTGACTGCACACCAAAAGTAGAAGGTCTGAATAAATTTGGAGCAGAAAGGTTGGATTTAAAAAAAAATTCCAAACTCTTTCCTTTTTTCCATGTCAACTTAATTAATAATTTCAACTATTATTTTCATTCTGTGTGTTCATAAAACTTACAGGCAAATATATATAAGTGCTTTCTCATCTTCAAAAAATGAGTTGTATTAGGACCAGACACCATACACTGAGCAGATTCTCAAATACTTTGCTTTTTTATGTCCTTTGAATTTCTGACCTATACAATGATACCTTTTTTTTTTTTTTTTTTTTTTTTGGTGGGACTGGGGTTTGAACTCAGGGCTTCACACTTGCAAAGCAGGCACTCTACTGCTCCAGTCCATTTTACTCTGGTTATTTTGGAGATGGGAGGTCTCATACACTATTTGTCTGGGAGGCCTCAAACTATAGTCTTCCCAATATCAGCCTCCCAAGAAGCTAGGATTATAAGAGTGAGATACTAGTACCTGGCGTGATTCAACTTTTGCCTACTGAAGATCAAGTTAAACAAATGAGCACATTTTAATTTGTAAGTCTAAGAGACTTGCTTGTCTTCTGTTTTGCCTCATGTTATTTTTCTCCTTTCATTTCTAATTTCCTGTACCCTCCCTTTCCATCTCTTTTTAACCTCATTTTCTCTAGCTTTATTCCTTCACTTTTATTTGTCACATTTTTCCCTATACAGATTCTATACAAAAATAATTGTAGTTCTTATAGTGTAATATACATATTAATTCATTTTCCTTATAGACAGTAAGATCCCTTGGGTCCAAAAATAGCCGATTGTGCCAGCAGCCCACAGTAGAGAAGTGTGTTAACAGTGCAGAAATGTCAACCTCACTCATACCTGAGCCTGAAGAACAAGGAGATAAAGAAAATATTCGCCAAATAAAGCCGATTGTACCTATTCATGGTAAGAAAGAATTATGCAGAAAGACTGATAGCTACTGAAATTAGAGAGAAATGTTCCTGTTAACATAAGTCAGAAGTTACATTCATGACTAGATCTTAAGTCTAGAGAATTATTATTTAATAATGAAAAGCATGGTGGATATTGAAATATATTTAAACTTTTTATACATGCATTATCTTCTGGAACCTGTCATTCTATTTAGTCCATTATTTCAAGTTGCTATAGCATCCCGTGTTTTTGCTTTATGATAATGATGTGGAAATAAGATAGCATCCCATTATCAGTGTATTTTGAAAACTCCCTGTGCATTTTTTTCCTAGCTTAATTTCATTTTCCATTTATAGTATTCTTCATTTTCTCTCATTGATGCAAAAAACAACCCTATGGGTGAAAAAGGACATTTAGCCCATTTTATGGATTGAGAGTAATGTGAAGTTTGCAATCATTGCACAGACTTAACACCACAGCCCAAGACTCAGCTCTCTCACAATTTTTCCACCATTCCTGATCTGACTTTAGTGAGAGCTGAAAATGGGGTGGGGGGGCATTTGAATTCACTTTGTTTAATTTAGAAATTAATGAACATTTTTACAGAGAATAGCCCCCATGGAGTATAAAACTGACATAAGAAAGTGATTGGCATAGATACCCAGTCCTGGCTCTACCACTGACTATGAGGCATAGATCAAATTTCTTACACCCTCAGAGCCCCAGCTCCCTCATCTTTAAAGTGGAGATTGCATTTCTCTTGGCACTGGTAGTAATAAGAAGTCATAGCTGCCTCAAAGGGTTGTTGTGAGGCTTCAATGAGAAAAACAGCTAATATATCATATTGCTCCAAGAAATGAAGGATTTAGCAAATACTAAATGCTGTTATGATTGTATCACTTAAGAATTGAATTATTCTTAAAAATTCTTCTCCAGACTTGACTTCTGTACTCCAGGGTTCTCTGGGAAACTACTATCTAAGTTTTTGTTGAAAGTATACTCAGCGATACTTCTTTTAAAAGGAGAAATAGTTTTTCTGTATTGGCTGTCAGCTTCATTTTCATTTTTATAGTTTTTATAAAATGTTGCATGATTGACATCAAATTACTTGTATAAATACATGAATAAAATGTATCAGTAATTTTGAAAGCCTGAAATGATCCTAATATTGGAATAGGAATAAACCCTATTTTCTATGAAGGAATAAATTGTGTTTTTGATACAGCTTCACATTATGCCAAAATGATACATGAATATTCTCATTATAGTGATAATTATATTTACTGAATTATTTCAAGTGACATAGTACTTTCTGTTCGGGCTTTTGTTCTTTGATACGAAAATGTACCAGCCAATCTACCTATTATGCATCCACATCCCCCTCAAGAACCATCAGCAGATAAGAATAATAACAGAAGAAGATTCCGGTTAAAAAGCACCAGCAGAGAAAGGACAGAGACACCCAGCGGTATGGTACTATTTCAATACTATCTTAGATCTGTATATTATTCAGGGCAATGGACTCTCTCTGCAGGTTGTATATTTCAAAGGATTATGAACCAATTCATTTAAAATATAAATGTCTGTTCTACAGGGATTATAAAAATCAAATTTTCTGCAAAAGAATTGCTCTAGAGCCCTAACAGAGATTTGTTGGATTAAATAGACAGTGTCACAGAAATAAAGGACTTCTTACTTTATTCTCAAAGGCTGAATAATGCTTGAATTATTGTTTTCTAAAAATGGCCCCAATGTGATAAAGAAAGTTCCCTGGCTGCAGACCACTAAAATTGAACTTTATTATAATTTTTCAGATTTCATTTATATCTTTTCTTTTTAAATGAGCTCTTTTCAGATTGGTAGTTATATTTACTATCTCTCCTTTTGGATTCTTTGCCATATGATATAATGCAGGTTAAAATTTAAGCTCTGCAACCAGGTAAGCATTAGATAGATATAGGTAGCTTTTATAGTCATTTCCTTAAATTCTGGATTTAAGGCATGTTTGTGTAGATTTGTATATACATATTTTAATCTACTCTGAAGCCAGCCAAAAATAGGTATCATGTATACATCTATTAGCACAATTTCTCAAAAATATAAGATTCCTGGGTTGACTGAAATTCAGACTGCTAGATTTTATGTTATCTTTATAAAACTGTAGATAGAAAAATTAATTTTGTAATAATGCCTACATCTACTTTATTAAGGAGCCGAAGGAAAGAGCTTGGTTATATTTTGTAAGAATTGTAATTTTTAAAAGATGCTCCATCTTATGTGGAGCCCAAGGGGAAAAAATGTAAGACTCTTTAAAAATTACATGGGTTTGGAATTCTTTTTATCACATATTGTAAAACTTAAATCTAAAATGTCCCTGTGCAGATATTAAAGAATTTTAAGATGAACCTCTAAGCTGAATTCATCTTAGAACATTTTATTGAAAAAATAAAACTACATATAAACTACATTATTAAATAACCAAATGAAAAATATTGTGAATCAATATCACTCTTCTAAAATTACTTTTTGTAATTATCAAAAGAAATAACAAATTAGGAATATTTATTCAATAAAGGCAGTTCTTCAGAAAATAACAGGAATGAAGATGAAGCAAGAACAACCCTCACCACTGTGACCCAACAAAAAGCCGAGACACTGAAGTCCAGGACTCTAGGAACCCAGTCTCCTGACCAAGCAGGTTGGCCATCTTAACTATTAGTAAAATATAATTATGACAAATATTTCAAACCCAGTCATTTTGAAAAGCTGTGATATAACCATTTGATGAAATTTGATCTTTTGTAAACTTTACTTTATAAACCTTTTTTTACCTGTTTTACGCCAAACTTTAATGGATAAAAGAGTATTTTTATTTTTGAGCTTTAATGCCCTAGTTGTCCCAGTCAGAATGAAAGTTTAAAACTCTGAAGTCTTCCCATGGTACTGTCACCCTCCCCAAAGACCATCTCTTGTTGCAATTCTCCATCCTTTTTATAAAGATGGTTACAACCAAGAGCACTGAGCCCATCAACCTATCTTGCCTAGCGGGTGTGTGCTACTTTTACAAAGGCAAATTGTTTTCAAGCAAGGGAAAAAGGAAAATAAATGAAAATGGTTTGTAGTTTGTCAGTCTTATTTATGTAATGTTGAAACCTTCATTAAAATGTTAGGTGCAATTAGTGTCTCTAGCATAAATCTGACTGTGTAGAAAACTAATTAGATGTTTAGGTGATCATTCTTGCATTTATCTTGTTTGCTGCAATATTGTGATTACACAGTAATTTACATATTTTCCTAAGAAAACACACCAAATTATTCATTACAATTGATATGGAAATACTTGAGGTAAAAGTACAAATTTTTTTTAAAAGCTTGTGGTAGTAAGATAATTAGAGTTACTTTGGTGTAAAACACTCATTTTACTTTGACTTTTTGACAGTTAATAATATATTTGGCAAATAGGTCATAAAAATTATTTCATTGCGGTCTTTTTTTAACCATTTGCAGCATTTCTAGAGCACCTACTGTGTTTACAAAGCACCTACAGGATTTGGTGTCCAAACTAGGAGTGCCCAGTAAACTTGTTCATTTCACCTGGCCATGCTATACTGATTCAGAACCCTCTGAGAAGGTGGTCAGATGTGGACTCAACCTGCCACTGGCCATATACTAACAGACCTTGTCCCTGAAAATATGGATGTCCTGTCCCTTGTACATTTTCTCTTAAGAAGTATAAATTTATCACCCTTTTTACAGGCAAGTCATGTTTTATAATGGTAGCCTTCGGTTAAGAAACAGTTTATGGCCAGACATGGTAGTACATGCCTGTAATCCTAGCTCTCAGGAGGCTCTCAAGTTAGAACAAAGCAAAAACAAAAAGGATAAACACAGTTGTGAAATATTTTATATTTGTGTCATCAATTTTCCTTTTATTAAAGTTTTCTGCTGTTTTTTGTTTGCTTTTGGGATTTTGCCATGTAGGCCTTTAAAGTTGGGAAAACTTCAGAACTCTCTTGGTTACTTTATTGTGATAATAGCTATAATAGGATTCAAGAGACAAGTGTAAACTACTATGTCCTTGTTGAGGTTCTGCAGAGCAGGTGCTTGCATTATTTTTACCATTGAACCACAACATCAAAAAAGTATATTTCAAGAAAAATAAACTAAAGTGAGAAAATGCTCAACTTTTTCCTGCTATCATTCTAAAAATGAAAGCAAGTATGCTTTTAATGATACTTATTATAATGATCTGTTCTTCCAAGTTGCATGGATCAAAGTTATAAATGTTTGGTTAAAATATTTCTCAGTAGTAGTATACAATATTTTTTAAAGAAAAAATAAGGGCTAGTAGAGTAGCTCAAGTAGTAGAGTGCCTCTGAGCAAGAGTGAGGCCCTGAGTTCAAACCCCAGTACCACCAAAAAAAAAAGAAAGAAAAAGGAATCTGAAAAAAATATTTTTTTAATGTCAAAACATTCTCTCCTAAAATTAAACATTAAGTTTAATTTCATCAAGCCCAACCTACCACTCAGATTAATAATATTTCTGTGGATTTAGTATTATTTGCAATGTCTACTCAGTTTAGTCTGTGAATTGCTTTTTCTCAATGGAGAAAAACAGACTGCCACCTTTCCATGGTTTCCCCTGTTCCATGGTTCGCATTCCAATGGTCATATTTTGTTTAAAGAAGTTTGTTAAGTACTCTATCCTGAAGTAGAAGGAGATATTAGCAACTCAAATTCTTTTAAATTTGGAATATTTGCTCCCTCTGCAGTGTCTAATTAATACGAGTATACAATAAAAAACTTTCTGCGGGACAGGTGAATCTAGGCTGACAAATTTTCTGGCTAATGTTTTAGCTCAGATGGAGAGTATGTGAAAATGAGTTTCCTGTAGCTTTAGGCACTGAACTATGGGTTAAGTGTTTAGCAATATAAGATGGTAGATGAATTGCCCTCCTTGGCTTCTGCCTTATTTCATAAATCTGTTTCAGCAACAAGAAATTTTAACCTAATTACCTGCCTAAAATAACACTTTTTTTGGAATACTACTCTAATTTTCATCATTTTTCCCAAATGTTAGATGAGTGGATATTTCCTGAAAGTGAAGATCACACTGCCCATTCAGCATCTGGCATGCAGTCTCTGCCTCTAGATGATGGCTCCTCTTTTTCATCAGACCTGTGGCAGGAAGCCAGCAAGGACAGTGAACCTGACCAACAGGCAGAGGAAACCCAGATGATTCCAAAGGACATTTTCACTTTTTCATCTAGACCACGATCAGCACCTCATGGGAAGACTCAGAAGATGTCCCCAGAGGAGTGTTCATTGATTTTGGATCTAGGAAAGGATACCAGCGTGACAAGGACAGACACCCAATTGGAGGATGATTTTTATGGCGGTGACAGCAGTGAAGAGGTACACTATTTGATAAGTAAAGTAATCTTAAAAGCACAGTTGTTCCATTAGCTCCAATAAGCACTAAAACTAGCTGAAATGAAAGAGGGGAAATCAACTGCTATTTATAAAAATGAAGCAGATTTATTTGTCAGTCAACAGTTGCAGCAGGTTGCTGTGATAACTCTAAATTGCTGCCTTTTTATTATCAACAGCTGATTTCGTTTTTAATTATGAGAACCAGGTTTTGGTTTGTTTGGTTTTCTTTCGTTCTAATCTTTGTCTCATGAATAAGAAATCATATACAATCTAGTTATGTGATAGCAGGACCAGTAAAACATTGAGAGCACGTTGTTCTAGGTCTCTGGGGAAATTGTGCTGTAGTTGGTAAGCATTCTGAATTGACAGTTTTCTGGCTTCTTTACTCCGCTGCCATCTTTTCACCTTAGACATATTAGGAGTCATTATTTTCCATATGTTCCCAGAATTTCAAGAGTTGTGCCAATTAAAGTTTAGATAATGAATCATGAATTAGTACTGGGACTTGCCTTACAAAAAGTGTTCTATTTGGTATTATTTAGAATATAAATATGTTATAATTTAGTAAATTCATAAGTTTTTAAAAACTTACTGAAAATAAAACTGAATATAGTTTAGAAATATTTGTTTCGAGTATAATATATTATGATAACTTTATCATAAGGAATTTATATGTAAAAAATGAATTTATATGTGAAATTTCTCTAGCTTTTTTTTATTAATAATGACCATTCATATTTGCTGGAAATATTATTTTACAATCAGAATATAGTCAAGTTAAGGTTTAGTAAAAATAAATCATTTTATAGAAATAATTGTGGAACTTTTATGTATGCTTACATTTTTTTAAATAACTCTGAGTAAGAATCCCCTTTGGAATATGGGGTGAACATTAAATTCCTAGCTCCTACTCTCAAAGGCAGTTGAGAGCACAGTGGGATTGTTAAGACAGTAAGTAGGGAGTTTTACAAGTTTTATTGAGTTTCTTAGGCAAAATACCCAGGGGGTCCTTTTTTCCCAGTGTCCTTGCTTCAGAGATACTGAAAGAATTAGTAATAGCAAATATAACCTACTGCAGACCCCATTATACAAAATCAGCACATTGGATGTCAGCATTTTAAAAGTTAGTGTCGGACACATTTGTCCCTTTCACCCTTAAAAACAAGCTGTAAAGACTATAAAATGTGCATTTGTTTCAGCATCTGGCATTATCATCACCCTAACCATCAATTCTTCTATGGTATAAATTGGTTAATCTGACCAGTTAGTTTCATACCATTTTATTAGTGGGACAAGTTCATTCCCTTCTTATGTGCACACTGCACCATCTTTCTTACCTAACCTGAAAGATTTACTCTAATAGTGGAAATTTCATAGTAAGTGAAAAATGGTATTTCTCTGGGAAATTACTCTTCAAATAACACCACATGAGGAACTTACTGTTCTTACAAAGGATAAGCCTTGAGGAAGAGCAACAGTGTTTCATGAAAAAATGAACAATGCCAGCTCTGAATATTTTAGTTTGTTATCACTTCATGTGCTTTCTTTTGCTACTAGCGACTCTACTTCTAATATCCTTCACTGTTTATTATATATTTATTACACTGTTTTTATTTATACTTTATTACACTGTTTATTATTGTGTATTTATCACCACCTACATGAAAATTGAGAACAAATTTTTCAAGCTCTCACTCACATAACGGTCTGCTCTGTACTTTGCCCGTCAGCGAGACCAGCATATGGCTGGAGTCTATGGTAGTACCCTCGCATTGCTAAGCCCTACCTGATCCACCTTTAGTCAGAGACTGCTAAAAGTGGCTACCAGGGAAGGGTGGGGCAGAAGACTTATCCTGTTATCAACCTTTGGGGTTTGCTGTTAGAGAGACTAAAAAAGTACAAACCAAGATATAAAAATATTACAAACAAAAATGCTAGGCTATATTTAATTAAGTTCTAGAATTTGTTCTTTGGATGATTTTAGTTTGGGTCATTTCTTTTCCTCATTCATTGATTGTTTAAATCATGGGATATTGGATTACATATTTACAGTGTTTATTTTCATACAATCTTTGAATAAAAAATCAGCTTAGTTAGTTGAAGCATCCTTACCATCAGTTTTGTTATGTTATAATGTTATATCCTTAGAGTAACATAATTGTAGTTAAGGAAAATAATGTTACATTTATAAATAATAGTGGCCAAATGAGTAATATTACTTAGTGTGCTTGAAGCTTCTAACTTAAAAGACTTTATTTGATGTTAGACCACTGAGTGTTTTTAAAGGGAATTAGATAAATTTAGTAGCATATAAACTAAACAAAATCAAATCATGTTGTTATGATAGAAGAAAAGCACACATTTAGTAGTAAAGGCTAATTAAAATAAGCTTTCAGGATATATTGTCTTTGTAATTTAAGTTAATAATAATTAGTTTACCTCCAAGATAACAGTGTGAGAGGCTCAAAAGAATAAATTTTTTTGAATATTCTCTTTTGTCTTATTGTATGCTACTGTTTTTTTTTTTTTTTTTTTGTTCTACACTGCCAGCTCCAGGGTGCTTCAGTGTCCAGTGTCAGTTTCTCTGAACACTGCACTACTTAGTGTCACTTCCTTACACACTAGTGGATTGCCCCTTTTGAGTGCACCATCTAGGTCCTGCTGGACCACTGACCTCATAGGGAGGCAAACTAGAAAAGCTCATGGACTCCACCCATGGCTTGGGATCATGACTTAGGAACAGTTATGAGGGTCCCTGAAGAAGAAAGAGTCTAAAAGCTGGCAGATGATTTTCTGGGACTCTCAAGGCTAGGCCGTGTCTCCTACATCTAGAGTCCACAAGTCCCCCTACCACAGACTTCTGTGCAAGCTGGCTGGAGCAGGCTCCTGATGCTCACTTGCTCTCTCTCTCTCTCTTCTCTCTCTCTCTCTCTCTCATACTGGGTGTTGAACTCAGGGTCTCCCAGCCACTTGAACCATACCCCAGTCCTTGCTACTGTTATTGCCTGTGTTTTGGCATATTATCAGTTTGTTCAACATGAATTCTAGTATATACACCTGGTTTGCAACTTGAAATAGTTTATATTAATATTTTATTATTCCCCTAATTAAATAATTTTTATCTAGAAATATAGTTCTGTCACTTTCCTGCCAAAACTATCATATGTCAAAGAAGATACCTGAAAAGATGTGCAAACTGTGTTGGGTAACAGTCCAGACTAGAACAATTGGGCACTCTCCCCCAAATTATCTATATTTGGACATGAGTTATGTGTGCTAACTACCTATCACATTCCAATTAGCTGGCAAGCTTCCATATCTTCTCTCTGTCTAACTGTGTAGAAGTCTACCAAGGACAAATGCATACACAACAGATGATTGTCCTTTCCTGGGCTGTTGTTTTTCAAGGTATTTTTGGCACTCAGTAGTTCAGCTTTTTTATTTTATATTTTGTCCCAACAAAATATATTCTTGGATTATACTATAAGCCACTCACCTCTGCATGCTTAACTATTTTGAATTACTCTTTCTCATACCTATATACTGACAATGGAAAGAATATTTAGCTCACATGTGACTGCTTATATTTCTGTGTAGCCTTCAAATGCTTTTAAATCTCAGTTTATGTGTGGGGAAAAAAAGGAAGGACTCTTTTTAGAATATATTGCCTTGCATTTTCATTCCTGTATTTTATGAATTGCAACATAACTAAACTTACCAGGCAAATTTAATATTTATTCTGTGTGAGTAATCCTTTTAGGCTGTTCACATCTACATGTCTTTATTATTACCTACTAAACCTCTTCTCTGAAAAACTCACAAATATCTTCGTCCCTGAAACTTGGCTGTGCATTGTTATAGGCAGGTAAGGAAGATTATGAAACACTTGTCTGTTTAGAATCTAACATTCTCCCATTTTTCACTAAAAGACAGACATCTTACAGGGAAACATTTGGTTGTGGAGAGGAATTTTTGCAAGGAATCTTTAAATATTACCAATTAAGAGAGTATAAAATCTAAGTTGTTGAGAAATATAATTTGTCTTAAACAATTAAAGGAGTCTCATCATTTTCCCCAAATAGTCATATGCTGATTTTGTCCATACTATCTAGTCCCTATAATTTCCATTGTGATTTTGTCTATAGTGTATCATTGATTACAGGTAAAGATGTTTACAAAAATAGTTTGCCCAACCCTTTTTTATATCAGGCATGATGCAGGTTAATTACTTGTCAAGGACTGCCATGCCTTCCTTTCATTTTATTTGTTTACAAATAAGTAAAATGCATTATAAGACACTAATATCATTTATCTTTGTCACCCAGAGAAAACTGTATTACTTTCATAGTTTCCTATAACATCTCTAAAGTAGAAATACTTCTTGGGAATGGTTGTTATAAAGACATTTAAGATATATTTGAATGGTTTGTCTTGTTATCATCAAAGAAGAAATTTTTTCATTCTCTTATTCTTTAGCAAAATAACTGTGCTTTTTAATCAACATCATAAGTATATCTGTACTATCTCTACTGTTTTCTATGCTATTGTCCAACTAAAAGGTGCTGCCAATTCACACATTTAAAATGTTGGACAAGAGCAAAAACATCTGCGGATTTGATCTCAGTTACAAATTCAAAACTACCATCAGAAGTAAGTTTGGAATATTGCAGATATGTTTTGTTACAGAACTTTTAAGAATGTTATAGAAGAACCTTTTTCATGGTGTACTGAATTAAAATGCAACTGAAATATAAGTAAATATGATCATCCACTTTTACAAAGTCTAAAGTACAGTTCTATCCTGACTCATTCAACATTAAAGTTATGATACAAAGAGCCTGGGTCCTATCTGTTCCAAGTAGGTGGCCCTCAAGAGTCATTAAAATTATCTTTTCAAAATTACAACTCAGCAAGAGCAATCCATTTTGTTCATCCAGAATCACTGTCCAAATGCCCATCTGCATGTCTTTCTAAGAAACAGA